TGGTGAAAGTTACCTGGCAGGAAATGGCCTTTGTCCTAAGAATATCTGCACCAATTAACTGAATAAACTGAAGCCAAAAAAATTGCAGGGCATGTGTTTTCCCCAAAATAATGGGGATTTTTGCTTAAGCAAAACTTCATAAACTAATGGCATGGCTCTCAATAGAAGGAAATTGGGCTCCAGACCAAAGCTTCCTTCTACTTCTGCATTCCAAAATCTTAGCAACTGTGTGTATCTTGTGTCTGGGCAGTTTCTGTCTCCACTGTTCACACACCAAGGATGATATTTCCATATAAAGCAGTTCACTACCTACCTCAGTCTTTCTGAGTAAGTGCCTTAGCGAGACTAGACTGTGTCTGGATTTCTTATTCATCTGGTATCCATCCAGCATTGTGCAGAACCCCCATTTTCTGAGATGGGCTTATTCCCCACCCCCCACAGACACTATGCTACATTTCCTTCGCCCCCTCAGCAGCCCTTATTCCTTTATTTGTTTGAAGTAAGCAACTTTTAATAGTAATGTTTTTCATTACCTAGATTGGATGTAATGCTGTTAGCTGGGCTCCTGCTGTTGTACCAGGGAGCCTTATAGAACAACCCTCTGGTCAGAAGCCAAACTACGTCAAAAGATTTGCATCAGGGGGCTGCGACAACCTGGTCAAGATCTGGAAGTAAGTGCCCTGTCACCAAATAAAACCTGACACTCTTCCTAGGCTTTGAATGTCCCTTTTAGTATCTCAGCTAATACTTTCAGCACGTCTGTGCTTCTGTCTTTGAATTCCCATTTTTAGGAAGTGCTGTAGAAATGGAAACAACTTAGTGATGCACTGTATGCCCGATGGTTTGTGCAGTCTGTGCCAGCCCTGTGTCGTCTTGTCTTGGAGAGTGGCTTTCTAATGGTCTTTTGTTACCACCGTGACTTGAGCACTAGCAGATTTCTGACAGTAACTGAAGATGAGAACAAAAACTGCCTGTGCTCTCTGCCCCCTGCAAGGAGTTTTGTCACTTAAAGCCGTAGAGATTTTTGGAGAACTGGGGAACACTTGTGCTTTGTGTTACCTGGATGGACCAGGCGTCTGACTACAAAGCCAGAGCCTTCCAGAGCAGGGGATGAGAAATGCTGCTGCCACCCTTCTGACTATATAATTGTGTTTTCAGGGAAGAAGACAGTCAGTGGAAAGAGGAGCAGAAGCTGGAGGCTCACAGTGACTGGGTGCGAGACGTGGCCTGGGCTCCATCCATAGGTTTGCCAACCAGCACCATTGCCAGCTGCTCCCAGGTGAGGCTCCTGCTGGAGCGCCAGGCAGGCTCTCCGTGCCCTCGCTGCCATGTGCTTCTGTCCCTGCTCCCCTAGGAAAGGAATAGGAAGGTAGAGCTGCTGTTACAGGTCCTCTTGGCAGTCCTTTGCTTTGTCTGGGCCAGTGTGCAAGAGCCTTTGAATTCTGTTCCTTCCAGACTCAGCAGCTCAGTAGGAGCATTTGTGGACAAAGGTTTGTGCGTGTGTGTCTCTGTAGCAAAGACTGGCTGCTATATTGAACATCATGGGCAGGATGGTTTCAATAGCGGGAAGACCTTCAAACTAATGCCATTATTTTAGTGTTTTGGGACCAAATTCACTGAACCTCCAGCTGTTTTCTAATAATTGGCATTTATAGTCAGCTCTGTTGTCCTCAGCCTTCATATTGACTGTTGTGTTCTTGCTGCTGCTAGTTCTATAAATGTTTTTTTTATTATGAAGACTGCTTAGTGAGCTGCTGCCATGTGACTGGAAAACAAAATCTCATTCTGGGGAAATATTTCAGCTGATATATAAGAATTTTGGGAGCTCTTCTCTGATATTTGCAAGTCACTCTAGGTACTTTTTCTCATCAGAGCTGTACTGCCTCGCTTTAGCTATAGAAAGTAAAGAGCCCCTTTCCTGTGCTGAGCACAAATCCATGCAGAGGTGTGATTTGGAAGTGGAGCTCCAAGGGCAATCAGGGTGGTGTTTCCTGTGTCCAACCAACTCAGCCTCTGTGCTTTTGCAGGATGGCAGAGTGTTCATCTGGACGTGTGACGATGCCTCTGGAAACTCCTGGTCACCAAAGCTTCTGCACAAGTTCAATGATGTTGTCTGGCACGTGAGCTGGTCCATCACTGCCAATATCCTTGCGGTGTCTGGAGGAGACAACAAGGTGAGTACTGCTGCCTTGACTCTTCTGTGCGTGCCCTGTTTCCAGAGGGGCAGGGACAGGCTGTTGTCACTTGTTTAAGACAAGGCTGTCATAGTCTTCTTTGCTGCTGTGGTGACGTTTTTAACCATCAAGAGGGCAGGAAGAACGTAACCTCTGGCAAACTATTTGCCTGCATTCTGAGTTCTTACTGGGAAGCAGAAATGAAGGCTGGACTTGATTTTGTGGGGTACTGCCAGCAGAATTCAGCAGTGCTGTGGTGGCTGCGAGGAAGGGGGAAGCTGAGAGTGTGTTAAGGCTGAAAGCTGTGCCTGCTCTGTTTTTGAGGTGACGCTGTGGAAGGAGTCGGTGGACGGACTGTGGGCGTGTATCAGCGACGTGAACAAGGGCCAAGGAGGGGTGTCAGCTGTGACTGAGGGGCAGCAGAACGAGCAGTGATGCGTGAGGGAGTGCTCCAGCTGCAGCAGGAGATCCCTGTCCCTGATTTGCAATGGTTCTTGAGCTGGATGAGAACTGATTTTATCTAAACTGAATATGGGAAACAATTATCCAATTTTATGAGCACTCTAAAGCTATTACTGGGAGGCTACAAAATGTTGATAATCAGCCTTAATTGACATTCCCTTAAATTTAAAGAGCATAGCAAAGTACTGTGCCTGATACTACTCCTTGACGCTGTAGGAATTATACCCTGCTTTTCTGGTTTAAGGATCGAATTTGATTGGATATGCACTGGTCAGACTTCAAGCATTTGGGCAGGAACAGGAGGAGACTGTCAGAGGTGTGAGGTGTGAACTCCTTTGTGCAAAGGGGCAAATACTCTGTGCCCTCAAAGACCAGAACTTTGTTCCCAGTGAGGGGAAGGGCTGGTGGAGTTCTTGGTTAGCTGGTAGTGTGCTGGCCAGCCCTGTGGTAGCAGCAAAACGGTGCTAAGATCTTCCTGAAAATAACATGCTTGGCTAAGTGGGAGTCTCTGTGCTTTCCTGAAGATGAAAAGGAGTAGTGGAATGCATATGTCTTCTGCTCTACAATGGTCTCAAACTTGGTTATTTTACTAAGATCAGTAAATCAAACCATGGTTTGAAGATTTTTTTTCCAGCCACATGTCTGTACTGTACCTCAGGTTTGGGTTTTGGTTCTTTTCCTTTTTTGAGATACCAACAGAATAAAGTCCTATTGGTTATAGCCTGGTGTGCTGTATTTAATCATCTTTTCACTGGGCCCCTTACGAAAAGTAGAACTTGTCTTTTTCCACTAATTTTATTATTCTTTGTGAAAAATGAAATAAGGTGACTAATTGAGCTACAATCAACGCAGTTCTTACAGAATAACATCAAATTAAAAAAATACAATCAAGAATCCTTCCAAATAAGCAGCTATTATTTTATAATGCCTTTAAGTGTTCAATTCCTTATGGATTAGGTAAGTAGAAAATATTCTGGGTTTTGGGTTTTGGGTTTTTTTGTAGGTAGGTGGGTTTTTGTTCTTGTTGTTTTGGGGGGTTTGGTGGGGTATTTTTGTTTGTGGGGTGTTTTCCCCACTGTAGTGGTACATCACAAGGCTGGGTTTTACAAAACTGCAGCTCTTCCTTTGGTCTAGGGAATTCCAAGGGAGAACATAAATAGTGCCAGCTTCCCTCTTCTGCTCTTACAACTTTGTTCATCCTAAGGGAAGGAAGAAGAGCACGAACCCATTGCCACACTTCAAAGTTGTTTTTAAACCCTCCATTAGCTGGTGTCCGGGGCAGGGCCTCGTTGGTGACTGGCACTCATTTTCCGTGCCATAAATCACGAAAAAGCAGGCAGTTAAATATTGTTTTCATTTTTTTATTCACAATGCTATTAGCAAATAGGAATGTACAAACTTGCCTCTGAATAGCCAAGTTATGTAACTGTACCAATGTAAAACCATGCACTGTCTTATATATGTTGCATTAAATACTTGTGACCCTGTATTTCACCTCAGAATATTTAAAAATTAGCATGGAACAAGGCGTAGAATAACAAATTAGATGACTACAAGAGAACAAAACCTCTAAAGCACTTCAGTGAAACAGAACTGTGTAGGTTTCTCAGTTTAACTCTGGGGTTTCCCATTCAGCTCTGTGCTGTGTCCACGTGCATTCCTTCCTGAAGGAGGCCTGAGGCTTCTACCATGGGTCTCCCAGAATGTACTCATGAAAAATAAGGAATATTACATTTTCAGCAGCATAAAGTATCTCAAATCTATAGAATTCAGCGGTTATTGACCAATCTGAATCTATTCAATATTTCTTATATCAGTATTAATGTTGTCTTGATTTGATTCTGGTAAAATTAAAAAAAAATCTCACACTGGCAAACACATAGACAGTATTCAAGGCACTTATAATCAGGGATTTTACCAGTTTTTACTGTAGAAATTTGATAAGTATGATTTTAATACTTTAGTTAAAATACTTTCACTTGCTGATACTAATACATAAAATGAACAAGGTACTCTACAAAAATAAAAGGTATGAGACCCTCATGTAAAGCCAGGAAAATATACTATTATAGAATTCCAATGAGAATAATTACATATAGTTAATATATATTTTTTTAAAATATTCCCCGAATTGCACTGTGAATTGTAGCCATTTCTGCACATCATGCCCTAGTCCCTGTGCTCAGGAGGCAGCAGTCTCCTGTCTGTAAGCTGAGCTACATGCTCGGATAGTTCTTTTGGTTTATAATAAATCAGTATTTCCCTAGACTGCATGTGAGTGGAATATGCTAGCAATAGCACAAATAATAAATATCATAAAAATAGAAGTGACACTTGCTTAAGGGGTCTTTCACTTGATCATAAATACACCAGCACGCAAGCTGCTATTTTTTTCTCTTGCACGTGATCCCCGAGGCTGAGCCCGAGGTGCCACTGCTGGGAGAGCCAAGGGATACCCACAAGGACTCCTCTGAGAACACAAGGTGAGCATGGAACCATCAACAGGTCCCATTACTAGCTTATCTTTGACCCATTGCCAAAATAAATACAACAAATTATATTTCAAGTGTCCTATAACAGAATTAAAGACATTGTAATATACAACAGTATAATGTGAAACACAACGAGAAACCTTAACAACATATAAAGGACACTTAGGAAAAAATAATTCCCGAAAGCATTCCTCTGAAGAATCACACAGAGGTTTAAGAATTGAACAGCCATCTCAAAGGTGCTGACAGTGACCTGAAAGGCTGGGCTCACGTGGTGTCAGCTGTGTGCAGGAGACGCTCCGAGAGCACAGGAACGTGGCTGAAGTCATTTACCTGCCGCTGTGTACAGCATGTCTGAGACCTTGCAGAAGAATCTCCCTCTCTGGTAATGCAGTGTTCTGAGCACTAAGATCAGATGGAATAGGAGAGATTCATTGGAAAACTTCCCCCGTGGCTCTGAGGATTCCTCTTTGCAGGGGGATAATGACATAGGGCGTTGCTTCCTGGCTGCTGGTCAGTGCGTGCTCTGTGACTCCTGGGACTGTGGCTTAATGAGACAAACATTATCTGGAGATGTTTTCTGAAACACTGCAAAAGGATTGTAAACTATCTTGGCACTTGTTTGCCATTCCTTTTCACGTTTCAGATGAAAAGGCAGAAGGAATTTCTGTGTACAGAGTGGCACTGTTCTTTAATCTGCTTTAGAACAAGTATTTCCTGCTGCTTCTCTGTGTGATCACTTTTGTTTCCTTCACTCAGGGCTGATGTTTCTGATCCAAATCTGCTTAATCTTACATTAAAAGCATATTTTTACCATCTTTCTAATGAAGAGACAGTCCTTATTTCTTCTTCTAAACTGGCCACTGCTAATAAATCCAGCCAATTTACGATTCAAAAAGTTCAGAACTGTTTAACTTGTCTTCTTCATACAGCCTAATGTTTTCCATGAGCTTCTTTTTTGGATCATTTATCTGTATTTTCCAAGATGTCTCTCTGGCTACGGCTGAAAAACAAAATGCCCAAATATTGAGGAAAAAAAATTCCATCTGTTGTCTAAGGAATAGGTGATAACTCTAAAATAAAAAAAAAGACAACCAACCAAACTAGCTTAGGAAAAATATCTGATAGAAACTCACAAAACATTATGTAGATTTACTAGTAAATTCATAATCAAGGAGAAAAGATGAAACGTTTAGAAGTAGGAAGAAGAACCTAAGCAATACTGGAGAAGAAAGTAATTTGTCCCTGCTCTCACACCATCAGGGCACCTTTACCTTGTGAAGCACAGGAGGAGTCCAGGCTGCCCTGGGCACAGGTGCCCTGTGCAGCAGCTGTTGTCTCTGGGCCGCCGCCGCCTCTGGCACACGCCGCGTTCCTCTCCTGCAGCCCGTTGGTAGATTTCTCCTGCTTGACCCTGTCACCAGAGCCTGACTCTGAAGTGGTACAGCTGTGGCTGGATAGCTCCTTCGTGGGTTTTTCTGTCGGGTTCCATATGAAACTGCTGGACTCATCTGACTCACAGGGGACCCGTGACGTGTGTCCGCAGTAGGGCTCGGGTGCCGCGGCTCCCATGGAAGGGGCGCAGGGGCTGGAGCTGGACAGGGTCACTGCCTGGGCACTCTCCTCTTTATTCCCCACTGCAGAAGGCACATCCATGCTCAGACTGGCAGTCTCATCGTCAGTTTCTTCTGGAGTGTTCATGGAGAAGCCGGAAGTGCTGCTTCCACAGATGTAATGCTCTTTTAATTTATTTTCAGCCATTTCCATAACTTCAAGCACCTGTTTTTAACAACCATATCTGTGAATGCATACACATACTCTCCTACATCAACACTCCCAAAGATAAGTAAGGCATGAATGCTGTTATCTCCTCGATGACAAGGAGACTGAAATGTTGCTCGTGTATTAATAATATTACCTCTGCTATGTTAGAACTCTTCTTTCTCAGGCAAAGGCAGATGGCTGAGGCAAAATCAACTGCAACCTCTTCTGGCAAGTGTCCTGCTTTCCTGTCTAGGTATTTGCAGCAGATTTCATTGGCAGCCAGCTTTTCCAAAGTTTTTACTTTGGAGTGTGAGCTTTCTTTCGCTGTTTGAATTTCATCAGCAATCATATCTTTCTGTTCAAAGGAAGGAGATGCGTTAGTGAAGGCAAAATTAACACAAGCATTTATTTCAGCCTCAGTCTCTGAGTATTGCCATGTTTGTCATTAGTGCTCCTCAATGGCAGCTTCACAGACTGAAAAGGTTTAAGAATCTCCATTCATGGAACTGACAGAAATGTTTGTTCTCACTGGAGAGAAAAGGGCAGAGGCTTTCTCTGCATGTGTCCAATGTCAAATTCCCTAAAGCAGGCCCAGCTCTTCTCGGCTCGTGCCCCTTTACAGACAGGGATGAAAAAGAGCCAACTCTTGTAGAGCAGCATTCTTGCACAGGCCTTTCTAATGTGTTAAAGAAATCAAAGATGTAGAATCTTTGATTTTCTGAACCCCTTTGAACGTTGCTGAATTGCTTGGAAATATTAAGTGATAGAACTGTTGTTCTCCCTTCCAAGGCTTCAGCCAGATGGGAAATCAGGAGCACATCCCACAGAAGGAATGCAGGTGGAGGCTGCTCTTTGCAGATAGTGTCAATGGATTCAGTGAGCCTGGCTGGCCTGGTTGCTTGTGAAAGTAGAATGTGTACCTGTAACCTCAGCTTGGGAAACATGCCAGGTTATCAATCCCAGGCAGGAGTGCAGGACACAAACACCCAATAAACATGATGAGGAGCATCTGCAGTTCTCACCTAGCCAGGTTTCCCCACTCAGTGTGGCTCAGACCACCTCTTGCTGGCACACAGAAAAGGTGCAGGAGCATTTCGGCACAAGGTCTTGTCTCTCCAATAAACACAGATTTATTCTGGAGTCTCTCCTAATACAATCAGGCCAGCACTCAGGAGTGTGCTGTGTGAAATGGGAATATCTGTTTGCCTCTGTCTAAAGGCAGGCAGGCTACTGACATTAACAGAGCCTGGAAATGGCTCCTAAACATCCCTTCTTCAGGACATGGTACAGCAGATGGCAAATATCAAACTGTATTGAAACAAAATTAAGACAGCAACCCCATTCACTTGTTCCTGCTGCTTCTTACCAGATAAATGGGGTGTCTGCTTTCATCCAGCGCCTTCAGCCCCGACAGTACCTCTGCTAAGACCTAGAAAGTGTATTTGAAAGATAAAACAGTTTGTTCAGAATGAATTACAATTTTAAAAACTAGTTTTGAAACTAAAGTAATATTGAACTGCCAAGGCATTCTATTTTTACTTCAGATAGCTTAACAATGCCAGCTCTGGGCATTCATGAGACTTTAGATCTACCTCCAGAGCCAAGTCCAGATTTTATAGTCAGGTACAATAGATGCTGCTGATACAAAGGATGAGAAGAAAGTCAAGCTAAATGTAGATTAGAAATCTCACTGAACAGAGTAACTTCTTATTTAAATGAAGCACCTGGAGACAGGTGACATCACAGACTATCAATTATTTTTGTTGAAATTCCAGATTACAGGTGGTTGTAGCAGCTCATGGCAATTCTGCAAGAATTCTGAGAACTTTTTATAAACAATCAGCACTAATATTCTCTTTTTGCAAAAAGAAACACTTGTCTGTTGTTCAAAAGATTCACCTCACTTTGCCACAAACTGAAGTATATTTGGAGTGTGAACACAGTTAAAAACAGGATTTCAACACGTTCTAGAGCCAGTAGTTACGAGATAAAGTTGCCAGAAAAACAATGACATGAAGGCACTTGTTCTTATATCCAATTTCCTGTCTCAAGGCACCGAAGAATGCAATAGAGCATGGAAAAAGGAACCATACCACACCACAGCTGAATATATCCACTTTTTCTGTTAACTTCCCATGTCTGATAAAATCTTCTGGCAGGTAAGTAAGAGAAGCTTGCAAGACTTTGGTTTTCATCACAGCATATTCTGATTTTTTATCAGCAGAATGCAATCGCAGGCCAGAATGTCCAAGCTTTGGTGTAAAGTTTTCATCCAACAAGACATTTGAGCTGTGATAAGGACAGACAAATAACAGTATTGGTCAAGTCATTACTTTAACTTGAGGCAAAGAATTAGTTTTACACTTTTGAAGTTAAGCACTGAAAGTGTCCAGCATTTTGCCTGCTGCGTAGGAGTGGAGGGACAGAGAATGGTAGAAAGGAAGAAGGGAAAGAACAAGCACTCAAGAAATTACTTCAAAAGAATATACTTCCATCACTTTAGGAAGGAGAGACAGGTTAAACAAATCAGTATAAAGGCCCTACAGAACAAGAGACAGCAGAAAATACTGCATACGGATATCCAAATTGCATGAGTTTTAGTCATTACTATTAAAGAAATCCTGGAATTATCAAGTGACCAAGGAAGTGCTGACATGCCAAACCCCTCACCTTTTGATATTCCCATGAAGAATTCCAAAATTATGTAAATACTCCACAGCTCGGATGACTCCTACAGAAATGCTAATTCGCATCTCCCAGGTCAGTGGAGCATAATCATCCTGCAAGGAAGGGAGAAAAAGAAATCTTTATTTTATAGAATAAAACACTGTAAGACATTGGTAGTTTTGAAAACCAAAGGTTTAGTCTTGAGTCCCAATCAAAACTCCAGGAGAGAGCTGCAGCCTTTCTGGTGCTTGCAGTCAAGGTGTTTGGGCACCCTTTTTTTCTGGCTGTTTCTCAAAATCCAAAGAGATGAGATTGGCTTTCAGGCAAGAGCAGGGCAGGACTCGCAATCACAGGCAGATCACAGACCCAGATCGTTGCTTACGTGGCACTGGAGCTTGTTTTGCAGGGAGCCATTGCACAGGTAGGGGTATATCAGACAGTGCAATCCAGTTTCCACTGAGAAGCCCAGCAGCTGCAGAATGTTGATGTGACAGCACCTGCAGGCTCAGATCGCAATGATTTACAAATGAAATGTGAGCAACACAGAAAAATACATCCCTGAGCTGGGCTAAGTTCCTAAATGCAATGTAGCTGCAACGGTGTGCTGCAGCTGGGAGCACAGCTGGGAGCACAGCTGGGAGCACAGCTGGGAGCACAGCTGGGCCCCTGGCAGGATGGCAGAGCCGTGACTGAGCAGGAGCCCAGGGCAGCACAGCCCTGTCGCAAGCAGACAGCAGGGGCATGGAGGAGCCACCATGCCCTCCCCACCCCAAGGGCTGCAGAGAGGCTGTGCCAGCGCAGCCAGGGCTGGCAGCAGCCCCAGGGGCCAGGCTGCTCACCCAGAGCTCCTGCGAGGCAGTGCCCCAGCCCTCAGCCCAGCACAGAGCCCACAGACAGACCCCCAGGGCTGACTGAACACCCGCCAGGACCAGGACAGGCACCGCTGCCCCTGCAAGACAGCCACTCACCGAAAGCAAATCTGCACTTCCGTGTGGAAGAACCTCTGGGTGGAATCTGGGTTTGTGCATTCCAGCTGAAAAGTGAGAACATGGAAGATGTCAGTCCTAACTAACAAGGTTCTGCATTTATACAGATCTGTGTCTCTTGCTGATGAGCTACTGCAGGAAACAGGCTAGTACCACTGATGGCAATGTTGAGTCAAAGGAGACAATTAATTGAGAATTAGAAAAAATACCACTGTAAAGACACCCCTGATGCAATCATCAGTGCAGGCTACTCCCATGGATAGAGTTAAATATCCATCACGTGTGTTTGCTGGATCTAGGTTTACTTATTTACATAATTTCCTTTTTATCTCTCCTCTTGTGTAGCCATTCCAGTTCCTTGCCCACACAAAATTAAACAATGACTGCTAATGGTTAAGAGATGCTAATAACGTTCCTTTCCAGAAAAAGGTGCAGTACTTGCCTCTTTCAGTCTTTTGATGACATACAGTACGTTGTTCCTCTGACCTTTGTAGACATCTGCAAAAGTACCTTCACAGATTCTGTTCTTGTCACTGAAACCGTTCGTGGCATCAGCAACTTCCCTCTGGGCCCACAGGAGACTCCCACTGGGGAGATCAGCCATTGTCTCCTGCCGAGGAGTAGAAGAGCTGCAAGGCTACACATTTGTAGAAGAAACAAGTTTATCTATCTCATGAAAAACTGCGTGCTTTTTCCTTCTTTCATGTGTCATATTTTCTTTTCCATGATTTAAGCAATCACTGTGATTGCTGAATGAAATGGAAAGGTACTGTGCAATCACTCCTTAGGGTGTAGATAACACATAATGTTGTTATGATGTAAAAATTTTGCATTGTAGAAGCGACTTGAAATCAGTTACCAATTTGCATTTCCACCTTTCCCAAAAAAGAGACTTAGTTTTGTTTAAAAGTCCACATATTTATGTGATATTAGCTTAAGCTACAAAAAATAGTAATCTTTATGGCTGAGAGACAGTAGGATAAGAAAGTGGTGTCCCTCATAATGTATTTATGCTCTGGTAGGAACTTCACATTTACTTCTGGAGCACCTGGCATCGGTTTCACAATAATTTTTTGCTTCCAGTGTGGCAAGTCCTAATACCAATTGTAATTAAGAGTTCCACTGTAGCCTAATCATGCAAGTTTCACAACCTTAATCTGCACAGGACTTGAGGAAACAAAGCACTAACTCTTTCTCAAGAAACCCTGAAACTACTGTGCTCTTTGAGGCAATCTGCTCTGCTGGCTGGTACTCCTGAACCATGGTACTGTGGAAGGGTTTAAGGCCTCAAACAAAATAAACCACAGAAAGCAGGCCAAGAACAACCTTGATGGCAGCAGTGTGCCCACAGATCTGGGAAACACCCTGAGGACAGGACAGGTCTAACTAGACAGTCTGAAAGACAGGAGAGCTGTGGGGAGGCAGGAACAGGAAATGTGTGCTGAAATCATTAGGAACATGAGGAAAACCTTATCCACAGAAATGGTTAAGCACTGGAACAGAGGCTCAGAGAGGTGATGAACCTCCATAGGTTTTCAGCTGTCAGCTACACAAGGCTCTGGATAGCAACACTTAAATTCAATAGAAGCCTGGTTTTGAGCAGAAACCACATTTTAAGTATAAAATGAAACCAAAAGATGTATGCAGTTCTGACTGGTCAGTGGTATCTACTGCCCTAACCTGTGGTCACACCAGAAATGCTAAGTTCTCTGTAAAATCTACACTGGAGAGCTCTTCAAACTCAGCTGTTATTTGTGGGCATGTTAGCCCTTCCAAGCTATGCAGTATGCAATACTGTACATTTTTCCCTCACTGGTCCTTCACTGGCAAAAAGAGATGTAAACCATAAGCAATGGTTTACAAGTCCAGTTGAAGCATTAGGACTGTATTCAGTCCAAACCCACTGTAATTGAGTCCCACATTTTCACCAGGCTTTTTGTACAAGTAGAGGGATAAACTGTTAACTAAAAAAACACAGGATGTCATAAAAGCAATTTTCCTTCTTATAGTCAAAGAGTACTAAGGGGATTTACCTTTACACTTGATGAGACAGGAGGACTGGACTGCAGGGAATTCAAAAGGTCTCTTGGGGGAGGTGGTGGAGCAGGGAGGGAATACAAGGCTCCTTCAGAAACGGCGCCTGAAACTGAAATAACAGCATTGAAAATACACCTTTTATTTTTATAACACCACAGCCTGTGACTAACTATAAAGGTCTGGGAATCATGAAGGTCTGGGGTATTTTGTTGAAGTTCCTGACCAGGGATAATCTCTGACAAGCTGTGGAATGCTGTGCAAAGACAGGGAGCTCTCTGTGTCTGTGCTATTGCAGGTGTTCTACCTTCTCTCTCCTTCCCTCTCCCATGCAGAGGGGCTGCTGACCCCTGCCTGGTTCCCTGCTGGCCTAGATTTATTGTGCACAGAGAGAGGAACACGGGGCAGGAAATGCATGCACTGGTCTGGTCTTAGCAGGGAGTCAGGATGGGAGCACGGTGGTCGGACACCTGGCATCCTGAGATCCCAGGGGACAGACACAGCCAGCATCTCTCAAGGCCAAAGGAGCTACAGGAAGGAGGACCAGGAAGCAGTGTGCTAAAGTCAGGAATAAACAGGATACAGCAGTGCAAGGAAAACGGCAAACACTGCAGTGTGACCCCTGTGGAGCTCAGTGTAGTCACTGCCGATCCTGATCGCGAACACGCGGCAGCCTTGGCCGTGCAGTCACTTCATGTGAGAGCAAATTCAGAGGCTGCGACTGTACTTACTGCCTGCTGAGTCTGGTGATGGCAACACGCTTAACTCGCTTTCTTTCTCTCTCCTTCTCCCTTCTGTGAGAGGTATAGGTGTGATCTCCTGGCTGGGGGGCTCTACTGGCTCTTTTTTCTCAGGGCTGGTAGTGTTAGAGGCAGATATCCCTTCAAAATAGAGCAAAGGAAAGATGAGGAAATACTTTCCTATACAAAACTATTTGCAATGAAGACTCATGCTTTTACTTATGGAACAGAAAGAAACAAACCAGAGACAATCTAGGAAAAACATAAAATTGGTCAAAGCTCAAGACTTACTGGTATCTAAGGGAAAATTAAAGGCTGAATTATCATTTCATTACAACTCTAACAGATCCTGTGCTGTACACAGCTTGGCAAAATCTGAGAGTCAGGCCTGAAAAAGCAACTTGAAGTAAGATTGAAAGAACTACAAAGATGTTTTTGGTGTACAGGGACTGGAAAAACATGTATATCTGAGGGAGAATTATTCAAATGAGATTAGGCTACAGTTAGGATAGCAACAAAATAAAGTACAAAAGTTCAAGAAACTGTGATATAGGAGGCTGTCAGAAACTCCTGAAGAAGCATGTGAATTCTTATCTGTAAATACATTTAAAACTGAGGTTGAAAAGGAGCTTGAAAATGCCCTGTGTGTACTAGGGGTGATAAAAGGCCTTTCTCCTCCCTGAGAACAAATTTTCCTGGCTGTACCTCTAAACTTCTGTTTCTACCGGGCACCTTTTATCAGCAATACATTCAGCGTTTTCTTAAAAATCAAAATTAATGTTTTATTTTTACGTAAAAGAAAATGAGCCCAAGTATTATTACATGGGGTTTTTTGTCCTGTTGTTCTACCAGCTTTGTATCTTAAGCACAGTGGTGATCTCAGAATCAAACGGGCCAGACCTCTGTTTGCATCTGAAATCAGGTAACAGCTCTGTGTTGATTTGTACAAACAAAGCCCAGGGATTACCTGGAACAAGCAGGAAGCTGTGTGTTTGATGTGTGATCTGGGCTACTTGTATGAACCAAGAGTCAATGAATTGTGTAGAGAAGCCAAGCCCTGGCAGGTTCAGGCACTGAGGCTCAGGAGCAGCAGTACCTCAGGACCACTAATGGTAGAAATGGGCATGTTCTCTTTGGGGTTTGTATCCACTGTCTTTAATGCCACCTATGAATTCAGGTTTGAAACTAGGCCTGGAAATTAAAACTTGGAACACTCAGGTATGGTTTTTACTGTGCCAGAATGCTATGAAATCCCAAATTTACAGATTTTGGAAATTATTCATTGAGCAGTCTGCAGGCCTTTAGTTAAAACTAACAGTTGTTGGCATTTTCCTCCTGTAGTTTAACCTAGAAGTCTCAGAAGTTAGAATCTCTTCCCTCATTCAACCTACTTTTCAGGGTTTTTCATGACTTTTGCAACTTCCTGCACATCAGATAAACAGGGCAGCACTGCAGCTAAAGAAGTGACATAGAAAAAAATTATTATGGTCATTCAGAAGTGGGACTAGAGAGTGGAAGAAACTGTTGAACAGAGATAAAACTCTTTGGGAAGTAATCTTCCAATGAAACATCTCCCTGTGTGCTGTGTCTGATTCCTTTAAGTTGGAAGGAATGGAATTATGGTGATGTAAGGACCGCTATGCTTTCTAAAGTGCCCAACAGAACAAGCAAGGTATCAGCCCCAGAGGGATCACATGAATAAGTGTATTCAGAGAAAAAAGCAGAAATAGTAGGTAAAAACTTTAAAGACTGGTCTAAACCTCTGGAAATCACTTCTGCTTATGAGTAAGCACATAGTGAAATGCTCATAATGGGTTAATTCCAGAAAAATTAACCACTTCTGCATGGCAGAACCACAGAGTAATCCAGACTTCCTGCCACTTACATCAACATGACGTTTTGCTATGGACCTAAATATAAAAGACAACAGTAAGCAGCTTTTAAAAAAAACATAATTTCATTGTACTTTTGCAATTTGTTTCATTTGAATTGATCTGGGACAAAATTGATATTGATCATCAAGAATCGTAACTAAAAAGTGAGCACAGGATTTTTCTCTTCCATCCACTTTAAACCCCCTTTATCTAGTCTTCATGTTGCTTTACAGAGCCCAGAGTCAAAAACAAAGTCACCTGGTCACTCCTTCTGCAGCTACAATGTCACACAGGTCTGGTAAGTTTATCACAGCAGTTCAGTGGCTCAGTGAGCTCAAGGGAGGATGCCCATTTCTTGTCACAATCTCTCAGTATTTACTCTGCCTGCTCACCATCTAGCCCACAGATACCATTACAAACATCTCTGTTTACTTGCATCAGCCAAGTGCAATTTTGAGAAGCTGAGCTTTTCCTTCGGAATCCCAAAGTGTGCTCCTCCAGCCTGGAGGAATTTGATTGAGTTTTATTTTTAACATGGAAAAACACTCCGTTTTTGCAGCTTGTGGCAACTGAAGTGCAAAAAATCTCAGAAATATTTTTGAGAAAGCTCAAAAAAACAAGAAAAGGTAACTGACAGCAGCAGAAGGGAAACCCTGCGGTTCCTGTGCCAGCGGCACCTTGCGCAAGAGAGGGCAATACTGACGCACCACCGGGAGCAAACCAGGCAGAGCAGAGGGGATGGCGTTTCTCTGCAGGGATGATCATCGGTTTTGTCCGGGTTGTGCCTCTACTTTTCGTGGCCAATTGCTGGAAGCTGCTCTTGTATTGGAAGGCTGACTCTGCATTTCACATCACCAGAGAGGCCAACCATAGCTGGGTCTCATGTGAGCATCCTTAGCAGGGCTGTAACATGCTGCCTCCCAGGATGTGACCCAGTGCCACAGGACCCTCTGTGTAGCCTCTGTGTTCTGAAACCCTGTCTGATGCTTAAAAGACCCAGATCAGGTTTGGGCACAGCCTGTCTCCCTGGCACCTCTCTAAGGGTCCAAGATGGGCACTACGAAGGTGGGGTGATGAACTGGGGGGACCACTGAGTCCTCCCGTGTCACCTCTTCCCTCCTACCACCGATTTTACTTAGAGAGAAGAAAATCACAATCAGTGGAGATATTTTAGAATTTGAGGATGTGACTCCCAACAAAAAGTTTCTTCAGCTAGCAAGGGAGATGTCCTTGGGGGGGGCTGGATGCTGTGAGGAGCAGCAGAGACCTGCAGGAGAAAGGGGCAGCTACTCACAGTCCAGGATGACCTGAGCTGCTCGGTAGAGCTGCAGCCCTTGCAGCAGGTCCAGGAGCTGCTGCACTGTTGCCAGCCTCACTCCCCACCACCACATCAGCTCCCTTGTGATGCTGATCCCTGTCTTCTCCATGCACTTGATTTTCCGTAGCTCTGTCTGATCAGTGATCACATAGGAGGCTGGTGGGAGAGAACAGATATTGCTGGTAAAAAAATAGAAAAAACTAGCAGGGCAAGCAAGTAAACAAGTAAATTCACTTTTGCATTTGCACAGTTTTAAACGGAAGGATCACAATAAATGAGCTATGTGGGCATGAAGAAAATTCTGTTCTAAAGTAAGATATCCCTCTTCTTCCTTCTACTATTCTGGAAAAAATGTTGTTGTATCATAGATGCTCAAAAAAACCCCACAGTCACGCTTTTCAGCATATTTTCCCTGTAATCTTCTTTCTCCTTAATACTTTGTGTACCAAAGTAAGTTCAGATTAAACTCCTGGGGTGATTCTCCCAAATCAGGTGACAGCAGTCAGTGGTGTGGCTGCACTCCTGCCTGCATTCCTAAATCCCAGTGCTGTGGTGAGCCAAACAGTAGCTGAATCACCTGGGTGGTAGTTGAGTGCTGATAAAGCTATCAGGGAAACACGGGCATTTTTAGAAGCAGGAGATCCCGTGCCAAGGCTGACCCTACCATGCACATGCTGGTCACCCCCTGTGCTCTTCCCATCTCGCTTTCCCACACGAAACCCACCTCCCCTCACATCACTCCGCTCCATCCCACACACCCGCGGCCACAGCCCCGGGGCTGCAGTCTCAGAGGGGCTGTGCCTGAACCAGAGGGGTCCAGGGCTGCGCTGTGCGTGTGGAGACAAAGACTCCGAGTTCCCACCCCAGCTGGTTTCAGAAGGACGTCAGAAATACACTTTTATACATCTGAAAGTAGTGGAGATGGAGCCCACCCTACATCAAGAAGATTAACTGGGGTAAGAGCTTATTCAGCAGACAGGATGTCTTGAATGAAAATCATGTCAAATAAAGGAAGGTATGCACTAAGAAAAGATTCAGGTTAGAATTGTCTGGACTGGGATACAGACCAAAAAAAACACAAACCAAAAAACAACTCAGGGACTACATTTTCTGTACTTTTTGACTGAACATGGCCAGGACCGAGAAAAATAGGGACAGAAAGTATGAGTAGATAAATAAAGCATACATGAAGAGAAGGGAAATAATAAACCCCAGAACATCTCAGCAGATGTGAAGGATGTTGCGAAAACAGGCAGTGAGAAGTGGCAGGAGTTGCAGCGTGACTGGAGAGCGACGGGAAGGAGCCTGGCTGCCCGAAAGAAGCCAAGGGAACACGGAAATCTGGAATTCCGCGTTTGTTTGGAAAACAAACCCAGACTGGTGCCCGGGAATTCCCTGTGCCCAGGACGTGCTCTGCCGAGCGCTGGGAAGGGCTCGGCCGCGGGGTCCCCAAAGCGCTGCCGCCCCCGTTCCCCGCCGCCAGCCCCCGTGCCCTCACCGAACCGCATCCAGTCGTAGTCGCTCAGGCAGTCCATCTTGTGGCAGAAGTCCTCCAGCACCCAGGCGGGCATGCTGTGGATGTAGAGCGCCGGGGCCGAGCCCGGCCTGAGGGCGGGGGGCGGCTGCAGGGCCATGGCTCCGCGGCCCGCTCGGCCCCCTCAGCTCGGCCCCCTCAGCGGCGGCCGCGCATGCTGCGGGCCCGGGATCACCGCTCTCGGCCTCCTCTGCGAGCTACGGAGGCGGATTTTCTCCCCGAGCTTCCTCTTCCCCGAGGACCTGCCCTCCCGGCCCGTCCCAGCCCGGCTGCGGGGGCAGGGCCAGCGCCACCAGCGATCCCCGGCAGGTCCGACCGCAGCGCCGCTTCCTGCTCCGCCTGACGGCAGGGCGGCCCCAGGTGCAGGTCACATTTTCCTGCCCGGGGGTGGCTACTGCTCCAGCCTGGTTGCCAAAGGACGAGGTTCACGTGCCGGGGGCCAGAGATGGTTCCCCAGTGTAGCGCACAGGCCGTGTTTGCGCCGGGAGTGGAGCCCAGGGCACCGCCGGCGGCTCCTCCGCCCGAGCGGGTACAGGGGGTGTGAACAGCGATCCACCAGCAGATACAGCCACGACACAAAGAGCTCACCAGGGCTGAGAGAAACAGCCACGACACAAAGAGCTCACCAGGGCTGAGAGAGAAACAGCCACGACACAGAGATCTCACCAGGGCTGAGAGAGAAACAGCCACGACACAGAGATCTCACCAGGGCTGAGAGAGAAACAGCCACGACACAGAGATCTCACCAGGGCTGAGAGAGAAACAGCCACGACACAGAGATCTCACCAGGGCTGAGAGAGAAACAGCCACGACACAAAGATCTCACCAGGGCTGAGAGAGAAACAGCCTCCACCAGGAAGGGCACTAAAAGCGCCGGAGCTGACCCCACGCAGGGATCCTGCTCCCAGCGTTTTCCAGCACCCCAGCACACAGGAGCTCACTCATTAAGACGTGGTACTGCAGCAGATGCAGGGAGTGAGAAATAAAAAAACATCAGAAGTGGTCAGAGGGCCAGGTCTTGCTTGTCAAGGATTAGGTTTAAAGTATGTTCTTAAAGTTGGCAATTTTTCTAAAACTTTTTTTTGTATTTAACCTGCTTTTGATTACAATGTCTAATTAATTAATTAGCCAGTGTAATTGCTACAAATACTTCTGGCAAAACAATCTACCAGGAGAGCCTTCCTGCTGTACCTCTGTTACCAGAGCGCCCACAACACCCAACTGAAACAATCCCTCTTTCTGTTCCTGTTGCTTGTGTTCAGCCCTAGGTCTAAATTTAAATGAATTGAAATCAGTGCTGTAAGTTTTGAGAGTTTTTAATTTACTATTTCTTTGTACTCTGCATATACATAACAGTACAACTAACTCCTGTTTTCAGTATCAAACCTTCAAACTTTGGCAGTCCTTTATACTTCTGGCCTGAGAAATCATGAACCTCTCAAATACCATTGAAGTAACAATGAATCTCTTAGCCCCCCAGTAGCAAGGATAAGTGGATATTAATAGAGCTCTAAAGTCAAAAGACAGAAAAAAAAAACTAAACAAAAATATCCAAAGTGTATTATTATTTAAAATATGACAACTCAAAGACTGCCTTGAGATGAGCTATTTTAGCAGTAGTATACCAGTTCAACAGGAATAGTTGCATTTATGGGGTTTTTCCCTCCCTTTTCCCTGCTCACTGTCCCTCTGACACATACCTAAATTCTGTCATGGGAAGATGACCAGAGCATCTCTGGAAGTGATGTAAGATGAGACTGAAATTGTGTTGCAAGGAACTGGACAAAAGCAGGAAGAAAAGACACTTCTTCCCCTTGGGCACTGGAAAAACTTGTGAAACCTTTTAGACTATTTGCCTCAGGGGAAAATGAGGGGAAAGAACACATCCAATTCCATGTCTGGCTTCAGTTCTGCTCCCAACATTACATGTAATGCAGGGTCTTACAGGGAAGCTGGAACTGACTTTCCAATCTGAACAATCTTGTATATTCATGCAGTTCAGCCTTCCCTTTCCAACAGTGTGGTGTGGGCAGGACTCTGAACTGCTGCGGGCTCTCCTGGAGGCCTAGGACACAGTATCAGAACCATTTGTTATTTCTCTGCGCTTTCTCCCCTTCAGCTGTGCCTCACCACTTGGTGCTGCAGCAGAGCCCTGGGGCTGGCCCTGACCCTCGCTCTCACCACTGCTCCCAGGACACTGCTCCCGGGATGGCCACCGAGCCGGTGCTGGGACTGAGTGAAACACCCAGTGTTAGTGAAGCTGCCACAAGTCAGTGACGACATTATTTATTGCTAACGCAGCTGAGTAACTCGTAGGAGGCTCCACTTCCCAATGTTCATGTCTTAGAGCCACATGGGGTTTCTCCAGCCTTTTATTCTGACCCAAAGGAGCACTCCAGAACAGAAAAATATACTCTAGTAAGCAACACAAGAGATCACAGATCCCAGCCAGCTCAGAAACACCCAGAACGTGTGTGCCATGTGCAGATCTGTTAAAGCCAACACCTAATGCCAACTCTGACACAGGAAAAGCTGCAGCCAAGCAGGCCAATTTTCTGCCAGGGCCTAGTGGAACTGCCATGCTCATGGAAGCGCATGGCCTCAGGGGCAGCAGGAGGGAACCACCTCCTGGGTACGGGCAGGAGCAGAGTGCAGTGCCCTCCATACTCAGCCTCCCTGGGGCACTGACCCATCTGCTCCCGAGGCCCACCTGGGCTCCCTTTCCCCTCAGAGATCTGAGAGGAGTTAAGAGCAGAACTTGCCCTGTACTCCTTTTGCCCAGACACTGCCCAAAGCTGTGCTGATGGGTCTTGTGAGCCACAGCACAGCAACGGGCTGGGCAGGTTGTACAGTCCAAAGTGCCTTTTACTAATCAACCACAACGACTGTCCAAATGTTACAGGGATACAAACACAGGCACTGCGAGTTACCTGACAGAATCAGTCAGAAAGCTAGTGTGGATTTTTATGTCAAAGATCAATTCACACACTTCAAATACATAAGAAAGACAAGTCAACAAACAGGGGAGGCACTCCAAAATTACAGAATACACCGAGTCTCAGTTTCACAGCTGCTCCCAGAATGTACAACTGGAAACAAATGTACGCACAGAAATAACCTGCTGTGATCTCCTGCCAACCTGCTTCTACCTGAGCAGCACCACATCTGTTACTGGTGGAAAATTCATGTGTCTGCTGAAACTATGCTGCTTTCAACTCTGTGACTCAAAGCATCTACCTCCTGTAGAACCCCACATGAACCCTGTACAGGCTGCTGGGAAAGCAGCTGTGAAGGACAAAGGTGTCCCAAAACTAGGATCTGGTCTCTGTGGCTGAGCTCAGCCAGGCAAGAATCTAATCATGAAGGCAAGTAAGGCATTCAAGGTATGATGTGAGTAAAAACGTGCCAGCTGCAGCAGAGATACTATATGGGTTTGTGTAAGTGCAAAGGTAAGAGGCAGAATAAAATTCAAGTCTTTACACATCATTTTTACATCAACGTAATGTTTGTCAGGTCTTCAGGTGGTACTGGAAACCCTCACACAAAAACCCCCACGCCGTGACCCACGGGCACATGGAGGCTACGCATGACAGGGAAATTCCATCAAAACAAATTACTTAAACAAAACTGGTGTCGATCTGCCACTTACAACCATCAGTCTGGGTTAAATTAATTCTTGGTGTAATTTGCTTTCCAATACAATGAAGGTTACTCTGTAGGAATATGTTCCATATAGCTGTCCTGATCCCTGTGCAGTGCCCAAACTTCTGAGCTTCATCCGTGTGAGGCCTCCAGAGCCATCTGTTTGCGATACACGTAATGAGCAACAGACCTGAACCATCAGAAGCTGGCACACTCCAGGTGCTCTTCAGTCTTTGGGATCTGACTTACCATAACCAACTTAACTGAGTTTATGTTTCAGAACTTTAAATGAAGGCATCGGTTCTTGGTGTGTTTCCTGGTGACTCTCACTGCTCAAACTCAGTGGATTGCTATTGAAGAGTCTGAAGTGAGTAACCATGTTATTCCAGAATTCCATTCCTCAACGCTTCACTCCTCTCCAGAGAAAGCCGCTGAAGATCCTTCCAAATATCAGGATGATTCTCCAGCTCTTCATATAATGATCTAACAATGTCCAGTTTCCTGTAGTCCTCCGGGCTGACCAGACTGCGCACGACCTGGAGACATCTCTCCTTCAGGGTGAACACTGGGGTCAAACAAAACACAGCTTCGTCACGAGGGCTCTCAGCTGCTGCTCCAACGCCCACAGTGCAGCTCTGAGCACAGGAACACAGAGCAGCAGTGTCACCCACCACAGGCTGGGCTCCCCAGAGAGGGGAGGGATGAGGCTCCTGCCATGAGGCACCTACGAAACCCCTCAGAGACCCTTTACAGGAGAGGTGTGCCCCTACCTCTATCCAGCACCACAGCTCTACCTAGAATCCCTCACCACCTCTTCCTGTGTCTGAGCGGGTTTCCTTCTGATTTCTCACTCATCTTTACACTGAAGTTCAGAGAGACCAAGTTCGGAATTCCCCAGGGCACATGCAGTGCTGTCCCTTACCTGGCAGTGTGATGTCAGCTTTGGTCACGTTGGGGGCTGCCACGAACAGCTCCTGCTGGTTGACAAGGAGCCCATCGTTGGTCCCTGCGTCCCGGAACAGCCAGAGGTGCCCTGAGAGGGAACAAGGTGGGAACGCAGCAGTTATGGCACTTTGAGCAGCTCTGGGGGGCATCCGCGAAGGACTGAGCTGTATCTGTGAGGGACCGAGCTGCTCTCCAGCTGAGCTCCCTGGTCACACGCCCTGCTCACCGGCGTGAACCGGGAGGGGAAAGGGAAAAAAGGAAAAGGTGATGGAAGGAAAAGGGAAAGGAAAAAAGGAAAGGAAAAAAGAAAAGGAAAAAAAGGAAGGGAAATAAGGAAAGGAAAAAGGGAGAGGGGGAAAAGCGGAAAGAGGAAAAGGAGAAAAAAAAAAAAGAAGAAAATGGTGAATCCCACCGCTACCTTCTCAACCACCCGGGCCCCGCGACGCCCCAGTCCGTCCCATCCCGTCCCGCCGCACCCACCGCGGTAGCTGTGCATGACGCGCCCGGTGCGCGGCTGCAGGACCGGGTAG